GCTTGACAGATTTCCAAGACACGACTGCCCCTCCGAGGGTAAACACATAATCACTAGTGGATTTGGAATCTTTTATATCAGATATCCAATTTGCGTCACTATACCCTTCTAGTACCGCTGGGTATCTGGTATAATGCAGCCCATAATCCAGGGTGTAACGGATATACCCCAACACCCGCATAATGCCCTTCCAATGAGTAGCATTAGGATTACTCGTGTATTTACTCAGCCTACTAATAGCGTAGGCGATATCCGGCCTTGTACAACTCATCAGATACATCAAACTCCCAATGACCCGAGAATATTCTAGTTGAGAGACACTCCCACCATTATTCTTGGTCAAATATAGATTTAAGTCTACCGGTGTCCTAAACGTACTTGTATCTGACTTTCCAAATTTCTCAAGTATCTTATTAACATAATGAGCTTGAGAAAGTACAATACCACCAGATGTTCTGGTGATCTTAACACCCAGAATGACATCTGCAAGGCCCATATCCTTCATGGCAAACTTAGAGTTTAACAATCTTTTGGTAGCTTTAATCATTTTATCATTGCTACCAACAATGAGTATGTCATCAACGTATAGACACAAAATGACATAACCTTTGTCAGTGTCTTTAACATATACGCACTTATCACACTCATTGATTCGAAACCCATTTGACAACATAGCATTGTCAAACTTCTCATGCCATTGTTTGGGAGCTTGCTTCAAACCATATAATGACTTGACAAGCTTACAAACTTTCTTACTTTGTCCTGGAGCTGAAAATTCCTCGGGTTGCTCCATGTAAATTTCTTCATCTAAATCTTCATTTAAGAAAGCTGTCTTTACATCCATCTGATGTATTTCTAAACCACGTAAAGCTGCTATTGCAATCACCATGCGAATGGATGTAATCCTTATCACAGGTGAATACGTATCAAAGTAATCCAGGCCTTCTCGCTGTCTGTATCCTTTGATAACTAGCCGAGCTTTATATTTGTCAATTGACCCATCCGCTTTCATCTTTCTTCGAAAGATCCACTTACTCCCCAAGGCCTTACTGCCTGGGGGTAGATCAACCAACTCCCAAATATAGTTCTGTAAGATGGAGTCAATCTCACTCTTAATTGCTTCTTTCCATAAAAGACTTTCAGGTGAAGTCACAGCTTCATGGAACGTTCGAGGTTCTCCCTCCAACATATAAGTCAAGAAGTCTGGACCAAAAGACTTTGTGGTTCTAGCCCTTTTACTCCTTCTTGGCTCATCTACTTCATCAGCTTGATCATCTACTTGATAAGTTATTTGATCAGCTGTTTGATCATCCATGTGATCATCTATGCGATCGTCTTCGTGATCATCTACTATTTCTTTCATGGAACTCGGAACCCTGTCTTGGGGACGACACGGAAATACATCTTCAAAGAAAGATGCACTTCTAGATTCCATGATAGTATTCTTGTGTATATCTGAAATATCATACTTGTGCACAAGAAATCTATATGCACTACTATTTTGTGCATAACCAATGAAAATACAATCCACGGTTTTCGAACCTATCCTAACCCGCTTAGGTGTAGGTACCACCACTTTTGCAAGACACCTCCACATTCGTAGGTATTTATATGAAGGCTTATGACCTTTCCACAACTCATATGGAGTCTTGTCCACTTTCTTCCGTGGTATTCTATTAAGAATATAATTCGCAGAGAGAGTTGCTTCCCTCCATAAGTTCTGTGGCAACCCAGAACTTATCAACATTGCATTCATCATCTCTTTCAGCGTCCTGTTCTTCCGCTCAGCAACACCATTTGACTGAGGCGAATAAGGCGCTGTGGTTTGGTGAATAATCCCAAATTGAGCACAAGTCTCGGCAAACGGGGATTCATACTTACCACCACGATCACTTCTCAATGCCTTGATTTTCCAGCTTAATTGATTCTCAATTTCATTCTTAAAAAGAATAAATTTATCAATAGCCTCGTTTTTGTTTTTAAGCAAATACACATAATAGTATTTAGTGCAATCATCAACAAAAGTGATGAAGTACTTGTTGCCACCATGTGATTGTACAACTCTCAAGTCACACACATCATTATGCACTAAACCCAAAGGCTGGGTACTTCTTTCAATAGAATGAAAAGAAGACCTTGTCAATTTTGCTTCTACACAAGTTTCACACTTGTGTTGTGGATTAATCTTGAAAGATGGTATGTGATCTAACTTGATTAATCTACGTAAAGAGTCAAAATTTACATGACCCAATCTATCATGCCATAAATTAGGGGACTCAAGCATATAAGCAGAAGAAGAAGCTTTCTCATTAATCTTAGGGATAAGTGTCATTACATTCAATTTAAACATACCACCTGACATATATTCCTTCCCCACATAGACCCCGCCTTTAGTCAACACGACCTTGTCTGATTCAAACACCATGCGGAAGCCATGCTTGCTTGGGAGAGACCCCGAAACAAGGTTCTTACGAATGTCCGGCACAAAAAGGACATCGTTCAAAGTCAGTTCTTTTCCTGAAGTCATCTTCAGGATCACCTTGCCTTTACCCTCAATAGCTGAGGTTACAGAGTTTCCCATAAACAACTTCTCCCCGTTTGAAACCGGTTCGAAAGTTGTGAACATTCTCTTCTCTGCACAAATATGGCGAGTGGCCCCAGTGTCCACCCACCATTCCCTCGGGTTTGACCCCACCATGTTCACTTCTGACACGACGGCTGACAGATGCATGTCGTCCACATCATGTGACAATTCCTCAATTTCAGCCATATGTGCCCGGTTTTTGTGTTGGGGAGGGTTTTTCCTGTAGGGCTTCTTCTTCAGACAATCAACTGCCCGATGCCCGTCACTTCCACAGTTGAAGCATTTGCCATCGAACTTAAAAATAGGCTCCTTTGGCTTGTAGGCTGGCCTTTTGGAGATTCCTCGTCTAGCCCCCAACTTTGAGCTTTTGCCTATTGGTGGTTTTTTCCTCGCCCCCGAGGACTCACCATGCTCAACCATGTTGGCTTTGACAGTAGAGGTACTCCCTCCTTTCTTCCTGTTGTCCTCTTCAATCCGGAGCTTGACAATGAGCTCTTCGACTGTCATCTCCTTTCGTTTGTGCTTCAAGTAGTTCTTGAAGTCTTTCCAGCCGTTAGGCAGCTTCTTAATCAAAACAGCTGCCTGGAATGACTCACTTAGGACTATCCCTTCTGCATGTATCTTGTGCAGAATCACTTGGAACTCTTGGACTTGACTCAGGACAGTTTTAGAGTCCACCATCTTGAAGTCCAGGAACCGGCCAATGATAAATTTCTTTACCCCAGCATCCTCGGTCTTGTACTTTTTGTCCAAGGCATCCCACAACTCCTTAGCCGATTTCTTGGCATAGAACACGTTGAAAAGCGGATCCGCCAAGCCGTTCAGAATGTAATTCGGGCATAAGAAGTCTGCTTGTTTCCAAGCATCCAGAGCCGTGAGCTTTTGTTTATCTTGCTCATTCTCCTCTACGGCTGGAACATCTTCACTCAGAAACCTCGCAAGGCTTAGAGTAGTCAAATAAAACAGTATCTTCTGCTGCCATCTCTTGAAATTCACTCTCGTGAACTTCTCCGGGCGCTCGTGATGATTGAGCGGTCCTCCCGGAACAGCCGGAATAACAACAGGAAGATTGACCACAGAGGTCACAGCAGGGTTTGGCAAGCCAGTCGCCCCGGGGTCTGGATCCCCACCAACATTAGCAGTAGCAGCATCAGAGACAGTTGCCATTTCTGAAAAATTACAGTCGAATTTTCACTATTCTGTATTTCCAAAAATCAAACTTAACACTAGAAAATCCCACAATTGGAAATTTAATTCAAAACTAGTCTCACCACGTAACTTAGAATCGAACATGGTCAGGAAATTTTCAGGAAAACTGGAGGGGTCACACCGGTCCCACTTAAAACTCAGTTAACCTTAGACAAAACTTTCAAGAGCATGTTGACTCCTAGTCCATGGGAAACAACTTTAAGAATTAAATTTTCCAAGGGATGAACTAGGTTAAACACACCAAGTTCCAAACTGTACAAGCAATTACAACAAAATTGCTACAATAATTACAAGCAAATAAAACGTGCTTTACATATTTAGGCCAAATTAATCGTTTTTCCCATTTCCATAGGTATGCCAACAATAAAGGGTTAGCAGCAAAATACAACAAAATCTCCCTCAGCTTTTCTTTGCTTTTGGCAAAGTAGTGATTGAAGGGGAGGGTAAACATGTAATTAATCTTGTGTTATGTTCCCCTTCCTTTTCTGTTGGTCTCTCACCAACGTTTTGGCTTCAGCTAGCAGATGATGGGGTGTTCTTCATAGTGCCAACCGAGTTGGAATTTTGGAGATACACTTTTATGCTTTTTGCTCTTGCCTTCCCCTTTGTTGATGTATTTTCATATGCATTGCATGTTTTGATTTCATCAATAAAGGCTCTTTCTTTTGCTGATTTGAAAATAAAAATAAAAAAACAAAACTATCCCAAAACTGAAGATGCAAGGAAATAGACCCAACAATATTGTCCAACTATCTTATCATAAAGAACCAATGAACTATTAGGATTAAGCTATTGCAAGTCATTATTCATATGTTGTCTTTGACAGAGGCCAATGCGAGCAAACATTAAGTCAACAAAAGGCTGGGCTTTTTTGGTGTGCAATATGTGGACTTATGTATGTATTTTTATAAGATCATGTAATAATACTAGATTCATTAAGAACAAGTCAGATATTAACTCCTTATTGTGTAACATTTTCAGTATTCACCCCGCAGACAGTTTTATCTCATATAATTTAGTTATAAATCATACTTTCATTTTTTGTTGCTTTCCATTCTTTTTTTTTTTTTTTTTTTTTTTTTTTTTTTTTTTTTTTTTTTTTTTTTTTTTTTTTATAGTTCTATTCATTTAATTAACATTTAAGAAATCTTTAGTTACTATATATTCCGCATAAGTTAACTTTCAACCAAATTAAGGAACCTTAGATTTACCTCTTGTTTGTTTTATCCTCTTCCATATTATACAAGACGCAAGGAGGAACAACAACAAAGCTACTGAGATGGGTATAATCACCAACACGAGCCTCTTCTTCTTCTCCTTGGAATCTGATCTAGACACTACAAACACCATCCAGTGAAAATTATATTTAAAAAAAAAAAAAAAAAAAAAATCTGTGCAGTTTATGTGTTTGGGCTAATTTACGTAGCCTAATGAATTATTGAACACAAATCACAAGAAACGTGCCTAGGTCTGCAGCTGTAACCTGAATATACAGAGTTTGATCACCAGGATTTGGGAAGCTTCTAATATCAATCAGATCCCCATACCAGAGCAAGCATCCACTTCCCCCTCCAGCAATATCGGAGTTAGCGTAAGCAGTACAAGAACAATTCTTTATACACTCCAATTCACATTCTTTAAGCGTCATACTGGTGTTCATAAAAAAATCTAACAAATCAGGGACGATCACGCTTTCAAATGCCACAAATCCTTCTCCGTCCGAGCAGTTTAATGGGTATTTGCAAACGCACCCACCATCCCAAACATCCGTTTTCCAATCTTGCGATGATTTAGGAGTGTATCCAACCAAACAACTACACATGTAACCATTAGAGATTGAGCAAATAGAATTAGAGCCGCAACGCCCATAACTCCTACATAGATTACTAGGTTCTGTACTAATGACAACCCACTCAAGGTTCCTATTGTTCCATATCACACTTTGTATTGTCCCGGTGTAATTCAAAACCAACCTTGTTGGCTGTTGTTATAGATCAAACTCGAAATACACCTCCTCTGAATTATCAATGAAATTAGTGTTGAAGATAGCGTTTTTAAGCCCGGCTCCATTAAACTGCAGACCATTCCATATCCCACTTCGGTGCTGCTTAACGGACCCTTTACGTATAACGGTTTGTGGAAGACCATCAAGATCGAGCACATAAGAGAAATCTCCGAGTGAAGGATCATCTGCGCTCTTCCACGATGTCAAATACCGGTCCAAACCAATCTTCAAGTCCCATCCAAACTTCATACCAGCTATCAGTGTATCTGAAGGAGGATCAAAGCTTTGCCAGATATAACTTTCTGTGCTCCCACCATTTTCACTTCTCAAAACAAGATTTCCAGAGTCTAGGAGTCGTGCAACAGTTGGTTTTGACGATATGTTCTGGATACCGGAAGACCAAGCAACTGTTCCTCCACTGTCAAGAAGGATCAAATTTCCATCATCCCCAATCTTTAGACCCCCCGATGAATCATTAAACGGTCTGTCTCTGTTCGCCACCCAAACAATGGTTTGAACTGGGATATTGTTATACCATATCCCCAAGTATCGGCTCCTGGAATTGCTTGTATTAAAGAAGCCTAACTTGAAATCTCCCCTAGCAGATACTAATCCCCCACTGCCATTGATTTGCTGGTATTGATTTAGCATGTCATCTGCTAAAACAAAAGCAGACCAGTAATATGAAATAGCAAAAATAATGATTCCCATGATCTAATTTAGCATCTCCTCTTCACTCTTTTGGAAATTATGATGATGCTATCATGTGTATTCTTTTTCCTGACCTAATTTAGCATGTCCTCTTCACTCTTTTGGAAATGGCGAACAAAGCAAATAGAAGTTGTATACTGCTATTTCTATAAGAAAAATTGGTATATATGGGTCAATGAGGAAGATAATATTCAAAACTTGGAAATCAGCAAGAGAATAAGACTATGTCACGTCACTGCTAGAGAAATTTGATAAAGCAGTTTGAGATACTTTGTTATGTGTTTTCCCATTTCAACAGTTCCATTGTTTCCAATTTTTTTCAACACTATGTATAATTAAATATTGGAGTTTCTTAGAAGATATTAATCAACATCAGATCGTAAGTTTGGGTTTTTTTTTGGGCTAAAATAGCCACACAAAAAGACAAAATAAACTAAAAAGTCAATAAGATAAAATATCACATCCAAACCATAATCATTATATTTTTTCTCTTACAAAAGTCAAAAAAACCAAAAAATTCATCTCAAACGAGACTTTTTAGCCCAGGGTAAAAAAGCCAAAAAGTCAAAAAGTCAACCCACATCCCAAATAAACTGTAAGGAATGACCATATCATTCGATTCAATTTCATTTTAGTGAACCAAACCTACATTATAGTATTAGCAGTTTAAAAATGAAGGTTTACAAAATTTAAAGGGAAAAAAAAAAACAAATTAATTGGTGAATTATTTAGAAGTAATAGATGGATGGTTATTTGCCAAATGTATGAATTATTTATAGTATATTGTTTGACTATACCAACGGCAATTGCTTTTGGAGAAATAATTTTTTTTTTTAAAGTTGAAATTGTTTGCCAGATGTATGAATTATTTATAATATTTTGTTTGACTATACCAACTGCAATTACTTTTGGAGGAATAATTTTTTTTTTTAAATTTGTAATTGATCAAATTTTACAATTCAATCTATTACGTCAGGAAAAAATGTGAATAAATTAATAATGTTAACGCTAAAAAATATTCAAAATTTATCTCGATAATTATAATTATGATTTACGTCAATATCAATAACTATGATTTATGTCAGCTACAAAAATCATATAAAATTGCTCAGGAAATATATTATTGTAATTATTGTGAAAAATAAATTATAAATGATTTACTTACTAATACAATAATTTTGTGGAAGATGAAGATTTTATTTCATTTGTTTTCTACACACTTACTGATTACAGTAGAGAGATTATATATTTATAACTGATTAACACTAACTAACACTAACTAACTAATTCACTAACAAACACTTCTAACTAACTAACAAACTTTACAACTGTTACAGATATTATAATGAGGACTGCTATCAATACAGGACTGTGATAGACAATATATCAATGCTGACTCTGATGCAGTTGAGAGCTGCTGTGACAGATGCTTGGACTGAGTGAGCTGCTGTGACTGATGCTTGGACTGAGTTTGGACTGAGTGAACTGATGAAGCTTGGACTGAGTGAACTGTGGAGATGCAGAGTCAGTTACAGATTGAATCTTATCAAATTTGAAATTAGTTTTAAGTGATTTTCACGAGAAAAAAAATTGTAATTTTTTCATTTATTTAAAATTTGAGTAGGTAGGTATTAGGTACAATATATATATATATATATATATATATATTAATTGAAAATTATTATTAATATTTTATATGTATATTTTAAAATTATGTATAAGAATTGGGATTGCTTTGGGTGCCAAAAAAATGAAGACCACCTCTGACATTGATCAATACAAGTGGAATTATTCCACAAAATGATAAATGATACCACGGTATTGGGTAAACAATATGTGCACGTTTCTTTGTAGAAGACAATGGGAGGGGGAGAACATGTGATTCTCACATTTTAGATGGTTAAAATTGGGATCTTAGATAAGATTGTACAGAGAGAGTTGTAGATTTGATCGTAAAATTGAATTGAGAATCGTAACATTTTACTTTCAATGTAAAATAAAACAAAAAATCATCCATAATGATAATGTATTATAAGTAATTTTAAAATTATTAAACAAAAATGATAAATTTAATATAATACATCTTTTATGTCCATATAAATCAGAGAAAATGTTTAAAGAAAGAGTTTATAGTCAAATTCCCTATATAAATATACAACATACATACATATATAACAAATAAATAATAATAAATCTTTTTATGAGTAGGATCATAATTACTTTTCTACTGAATTAAAAATCCTAGTGTGATCCGAATCGGTCGGGATTCCGATAACAATGCTCATACGTATTTTAATATTGCGTTTGATTGCAAGAAAAGGAGGATGATTGGAAGTGCGGAAACATGCGAATCTCACACTTATTTTAATCCAGCGTTTGTTTTACTTCGTAATATCATAGGTATTGTGACATTGGGGATAAACTTCTTTTTATCTCATCCTAGTCAAATATAATATCTCCCTCTCTACATCTAATTATTTATCCATTTATTAATTTCTTAATATAACTCATCCTTTAGAATCCTATTATATATTCAATTATTCATCGGATCTAAATAACATTACATATCACTCACAATCCTATCAATAATTCTATCATATCTAATCTCACAAAAAATAATGCAACAATGAAATGTATGTACTACATTATTATTGGTGGAATGTTAGAAATATTTCCATACTCTAACAATACAACTAGTCAAAACATATGTGTGGAAATGAATTTAATTATGAATAAAATTATACACACTAATTGGTATATTAATTAGTATACTAATAGATGATATAATATAATTTCAGAAGTTTTGAATCTTTATAGTTTGTATAATCACTACAACAAATTACACTTTTGACGACTAAATTTGGCGACTAAAAAAAATTTAGTCGCCAAAAGTTGTGGAATTGACTACCAAAAATTATATTAGTTAGTAAAAGTACAATATTTAGCTACTAATTTTTTTTACTCGGGATATATTGATTATTGGCGACTAAAAGAAATTTAGTCGCTAAAAATGCCACAATTGGCAACTGAAAAAGTATTTTAGTTGTTGTATAGTTAGTTTTGGCTATTAAAATTATTTAGTTGCCAAATAAAAACAAAAATTTACTTTTTATCTTTGGCAACAAAAAATTTGGTCTCCAAATATTTATTTTCAATGATTAAAAAATGTTTTAGTCATTGTATAGTTAATTTGGCTACTAAAATTATATGGTCATCGAATGAAAAATAAAAATTTACTTTTTATTTATTTTTAGTGACTAAAAAATATTTAGTCGTTGGATAATTAGTTTTGACTACTAAAATTATTTAGTCATCAAATGAAAAATAAAAATTTATTTTTTATTTTTAACGATCAAAAATTTGATTACCAAAAATTTACTTTTAGCAACTAAAAACCAAAGAACTAAAATATTTGAAAGGAGATATTTCAAATATGAAAGGGATTTCTAAAATGAATTGGCAACCAAAAAAATATTTAGGCCAAGTTTGACATCTTCTCAAAAAGTTAAAAAGTTACTCAAAAAGTTAAAAAGTTTTCACTATTTACAAAAAAAAAAATATTAAAAAATTAATTTTCCACACAGTTATCATAACTCAGCAATCATGTTAAGACTGCGCTGCGCTGAGCAGCGTTTGTTAACTTTTGTAGCACAGTTTGGGTGCAATATTCACACACTGCTGTTCGGCCCGTGAGGGCTTATCATGGGTCCCGTTTTGATAATCTGAACCGTCAATGTGTAAAACTCGTCGAGTACTATATGTCAATAAAAAATCACATTGATCGGATATCGATAACTCTATGATCAAATCAGTTTTGTATAAAAAAATGGATGGTGTTATAATTAACAATTGAAAAAGAACAAATTTGATCAGATAGTTATCGATATCCGATCAACGTGATTTTTTATAGGCATATAGTACTCGACGAGTTCTACACATTGAACGGTTCAGATTATCAAAATGGGACCCGTGATGACCCCTACGGGCCGAACAAATCATTCAGTGCAATGCCCGAAAAGTAGCAAATAATTTTTACCATTAATTTGGCTGTGCAGATTGGATGGCTGTATAACACACTTCTCTAATCTTCTCCTACACACTTCTTTATACAATTTTTTAATACACATTTTTCTATAAAAAATTAAAAAATTAACTCAAATATTTATATTTTTTTCCCTCAATTTTTTAATTTAAAAAAATAAAAAATACATTTACTTAAGACATTCCCACCAACCCCTTAGTCGCCAATTAACGGATTACACACAATACATTCACTGCTCTTTCTCCTCAAATTTTTTTTTCTCTCATACGCTATCTCTGTGAGCAATTGGAACTTCATGAAAAGGCAATCCACAAAAAAATCACCAAAAAAATTAAAAAATCATCTTTTCAAAAGTCAAAAAAAATTAAAAGCTATAAAGTTATGACAAACTCCCTCCGTCTCTCCTCTTGCTCTTGTCTTTCATCTCTCTCCTCTTGCCACCACTGCCATCGCGACGCCGCTGACCACCTCTCATCTTGCCGTCATCCTCTCTCGAAGACACCACCGACCACCTTTCCTCTCCTTTTTTGCTTTGTTGATTTTTGTAGCACCTAATTTTTTTATTTATTACCGTCAATTTTTTTCTCGTTCTTTTTCTGTTCCGCCAATTCAACACGCTTAGAGACTTGCGAAGAGATCGCTCGCGTGTGCCCATTTCTTCGAGTTCCGCCATGGCTTCAATCATTATCTCTTCTTCCTTCTTCAATCTCGCAATCCATTCTCTCCCTTGGATCTAAACCAATCATTTTCTTTCGATTTCTTGTTAGTTCCCAAATCAAAGCCCTAAATTTCGCTTGATTTGTTGTTGATCTGATCTGAGCTAAGAAATCGCATACAGTTTTAATGGCTTCAGCGAAGTCATCTCGGTCAAGGGTAATAACACTGCAGCGAAGAGCAACAACCCTAAGGACTCGGGCAATAAGCTCGAGGAAAATCTCAATGTATTCAAGTCCGATAATTTCGATGTCGATGGCTTTGTACAGTCCAAGTGTAATTCCTTGAACGAGAAGGTCTGATATCCGACCCTTTCTTGTCGTGGAATTTATCAATTGATTCTGAAAAAAAAATTACTAAAATTTACTGGGTATTTGATTTTCGTTTGATTATTGATAGAAATTGGTTTGGATTGAATAATTGGAACTTTTGTATGGGAATTTGAATCGAATTCTTTTTATTGGGAATAAAAAAAAAAATGTCTTGGGCATTTTATTTTCTTTTGATTATTGATATAAATTGGTCTACATTGAATAATTGGAACTTTTGTTTGGGAATTTAAAATGATTGAATGCTAGAATTGTGAATTCTTTTGATTGGGTATTTAAATTTAATTTAATTTAATTTTTTTAGCAACAAAAGAGATGGGGTTTAACAACTCGAAAAGCATAAGATGCATACCATACTAGGAATTTAGCGCCCCCCCCCCCAATAAAAAAAAAAACACACAAAATCACTCTTTAATACTCCTTTATTCTATTCCTGAACCAAACAAATGTAGGACTGGGTACATTTACTCTTAGGATTCCTTGTCTTGATACCAATTCCCTTACAGTTTAACAATTCCGTATTGTCTCGTCTTGGGAACAAATGGTCCCATGTATTCAACATTACTTGTACTTATCTTAAAGCCTCTTGATCTAGAGTTTTTTTTTCCCAAAAGGTTTTGGGCGTTCATAAATGCCATGCTTATGCTTGAACTGGCACATAATTGTGCATCAATATGCCATGCTGTCCCGTGTCATTCTCATCTGGGTTCACAAAGTTATGGTATTCTCATTTACGGTAATATACCTTTTTAAGTTGGGATTTTGTGGTTTTGATTATTGAGTTCAGATATTTTCAATGTAGTCTTGTGTACAGCTCATCCTCCCTAACCAATTGAGGTGCTTATTGTTATCATTATTTTTGTCTACTCTTACTCATCTTGTAAAAGGTTTGTGGTTTGGTACACATACTTATATATGGGCCAAGCCACCCTTTGGTAGTGCATACTTCATACATATGTTTTCTTATTAGTAATACATACTTATATTTTTAGATATTGGATTCTCTGGTGGCAGGTTAAGCTTGTTAAATGCATTGTTCAGAATATTGTGGTGGATATCTCCTTCAATCAATTAGGAGGGCTCTGTACACTTTGCTTTCTTGAGCGAGTACGTTACCATCTTCAATTTTCAAATCTAAAGTAACGCCACTTATTTTATTTTTTTTGATAAATAACCAAATTTTATTAAGAAAGCATCAAGAAGATGCAAGAAATACAAAAGAGGCCCCGAAACCTCGACCAAATTAACAAGTCAAATCCTCTACAAAATCTACAAAAGCCAGCACATCTGGATCTACTAAACCTGTCACCCAACTATACAAAACTACAAGAAGCCGTCTCTCTAACCAAGAAATGGAGTGAGCCACCCCCTGAAACACCCGTTTATTACGCTCTAGCCAAATCAACCACATTAAACAATGCGACGCAAAAAGCCAAGCCTTCCGATGCCGCCGCCCTACCCGCCCTCCTACCCAACTTTGCACAACTGCGAGCACCGAGCCTGGTTGAACCAAACTAAACCAAAAACTGCAATCATAAGCATCCAAAGACGAGACGAGACTGGGCAAAGAATAAGCAAATGGTCAACTAATTCTGCTGCCCTACAACACATACAGCACCAATTTACCAAAATATGCCCACGACGAATCAAATTATCAATGGTCAAGACACCACCCAAACTTGCTGTCCAAACAAAAAAGGCAGCCTTTGAAGGCGAGCCCGACAACCAAACACCTCTCCACGGGTAAACCCTAGCAACAACCTGTGCAAACCCATCCTGAACAAGCCTTCCAAAAAAAAAAGACACAGTAAAAATACCTTTGGATCTAGGACAATCCCAAACCAGTCCTGACCTTACCTCACAAACTTCGAACCATATAAAAACCCAAAAGTTCCACCAACTGATCTTGCTTCCAATCTTGAACATTGCGACGCAACTGCACATTCCATACCGTCGATTGCCCCTCGCCAATCTTGACAGCAGCCACCAACACCTCATAATCAGCAGCAATAGCAAAGATCAAAGGGAATTGAAGCTCTAAAGACAAGTCACCACACCACCTATCCCTCCAAAACCGAACTCGATCCCCCACACCAACTTTCAACCACGCCCTTCTCCAAAAAGCCTCCCGACCTAACCAAATCCCCTTCCACACACCACAAACATGAGAAAGACCCACCGTTCCGGAACAACACTCCCCCCTACCGATACCAAACTTAGCAACCACCACCCTTCTCCAAAGCCGCTCCTTTTCCACCACAAAACGCCACAACCACTTCCCCAACAAAGCCAAATTGGACAAGACCAACCTCCGAACCCCCAAACCCCCGCTCTCCTTAGGTAGGCAGATCTGATCCCATGATAGTAAATGATAATGAGCACCCTTACCCCCACCACCCCACAAAAAGTGTCGTTGCAGCTGCTCAATCCGCCTTGCTACTGATACTGGGATCACGTGAACAGACATAAAATAAGTCAGAATACTTGCTAAAACACTTTTAATCAATACAAGTCGACCATCCTTTGGCAAATACTGCCGCTTCCATCCAGCCAACCGCCGTTGCACCCTATCCATGACCCCATCCCATACCCGTTTGGCCTTAAAAGAAGCCCCCAAAGGCAAGCCCAAATATGTAACAGGCAACGAGACCACTTTACACCCTAAGATAGCGGCCAAAATCGAAGATCTCGCCACCTCTCCCACCAGGATCAATTCTGACTTTGCTAAATTCACTCGAAGCCCGGACACCGCCTCAAAACACAACAGCATACATCTCAAGTACACAATATGCTCCTCCACCGCATCACAAAAAATGAGCGCATCATCTGCACAAAACAAATTAGACACCTCCACCACCTTGGAACCACCCCGGAACCACCCCGACCTCAAACCCTTTCAACAAACTTTGTTGCACCGCTCTAGCCAACAAACGCCCCAAAGTCTCCATAACCATGATGAATAACAAAGGAGATAAAGGATCACCCTGCCGCAATCCTTGTTGAGTCAGAAAGAAACCTTCTGGAGACCCATTAACCAACATCAACATTTGCACAGTAGAAATACAAAACAAAACCCAACACCACCATCTTTCCCCAAAACCCAGCCTCTCCAACATGTACATCAAAAACTGTCAATTTACATTATCATAAGCCTTTTTAATATCTAATTTACAGATTATCCCCGGTTTCCCCTGACGCAACCGCGAATCCACACACTCATTCGCCGCAAGCACCGCGTCCAAAATTTGCCTACCCCCTACAAAAGCATTTTGAGAATCCGAAACCACCCCATCTAGCACTACCCGCAACCAATTCGCCAAAACCTTAGCTAACAGCTTATACACTGCCCAAAAGACTAATAGGACGGAAATCTCGAATATCCTCAGCCCCACCCTTTTTTGGAATCAAAGCAAGAAATGTGGCATTAAGGCTCTTCTCAAATTCGCCTGTTTGATGAAACTGGTCGAACATAGCCATCACCTCTGTCTTAACCACCCCCCAACAGTGTTGAAAAAAGGAAATAGTAAACCCATCTGGACCAGGAGCCTTATCTCCAGACATACTATGCAATGCCGCAAACACTTCCTCTTCAGAAAATGTCCTCTCCAATGACGTACAGTCTGCCTCCGAAATGACATCGAAAATTACCCCATCCAGACCCGGCCTCCACCCTTCTCCTACATTTCGAAACAAATGCTTATAGTAACCCACAATACTGTCCTTGACACCCTTGAAAGTCGAAAATTCCACCCCATTCACTCGAATTCGCCCTATTTGATTAACCCGACGATGAGCATTTTCCATACGGTGGAAAAACTTCGTGTTTCGATCCCTATCCTTTAGCCACAAGCATCTAGACTTCTGACAAAAACTGATCTCCTCCATACGTGCAAGATGGCCAAACTCCTTACGAACCTCCTCTCGGATAGGCATATCTGCTGCAGACAACACCCCAGCACCTTCCCTCTCATCCAACACCTTCAATGCATAAACAACTTTCGCCTTTTGATCCTCCAAGCGACCAAAAACCTCCTGATTCCATTTTTTTAGGTCTAATTTGAGAAACTTCAATTTCTGCGCCAACCGAGAACTAGGCAATCCTGCCACACGATAACTTCCCTACCACCCTTGAATCAACTCCACAAAGCCTTCAGACCGCAACCACATGTTTTAAAAAAAAAAAGGTGTTGGTCCACGTTTGACACCCCCACTATCCAGCAAGATAGGCCAATGGTCCGAAGTGGGCCGTTGTAAACGCCATTGGGTCGCCTGTAAGAAATGCTCCTCCCAATCCCCTGTGACCAGAAATCGATCAATTCGAGACATCACTCCACCCCCGGACCAAGTGAAACTACCACCTTGAAGCGGAAAATCGACCAACTCCATTTCATCAATGAACAAAGAGAAACGTCTCATTGAACCCTACCTCGAAATTGCCCCAAACTTTTCCGCCATACAGCGAACCACATTGAAATCCCCTCCTACACACCAGGGAACCCCCCAGCGATAAGCAATGCTCTGCAACTCCTCCAAAAAAGAAGACCTCTCCCCTCCATGAGCTGGACCATAAACCCCGGTAAAGGCCCAACGAAAGCAATCCTCTACACACCGAAATAGGCAAGATAACGAGAAACCCCCCACTTCGACATCCTCCCTCACCACCATCCTTCGGTCCCAGCAAATAAGAACACCCCCAGACACTCCCAAGGCAGGAAGAAAATCCCAATCCACAAAACGGCCTCCCCACAAATCCCGCACAGTTTCCCTCTCAATACAATCCATCTTTGTTTCCTGCAGACACGCCACATCTGCCTTAGCGCTGTTTAACACTAATTTTACCGACACCCTCTTCCCCCTATCATTCAATCCTTGCACGTTCCAAGACAATATTTTTAACCACATGACAACAATAATGGATCACTACGCCCCTTCCTTGGATCCCGCACATCTCCCCCCTTAATTCTATCATAATTAATAGAACATTCCAGCCTGCGTAATTCCCGAGCACTCTTCACATTAGGATAAGCAGACATCAGCCCTGACTGGTAAGGAACATTCCCCCGCCATGACTCCTCAATGGCCGAAAATAATTGCAACGCCTCAGCTTCATGGCCCTTAAAGGAAACACCTAATAATTGACTAACCTCATTAATACGAGACAATATCCAAGCAGAGACCTCCTCTGGCTGCGGCATGCCATCCCCCGAACATAAATTTTCCGTGGGAAAATCATCCTTTGGATCATCATCATCGCTCGCAGCAGTGTCCAACACCACCTCATCCTCAACAACTTCAGGTCTGACCACTATAGCCAAACCATCCACCAAGTCAGGCCAGCGACCCTGCTCGCTGACCCCCTATTGCAATTGCACAGCAGAATTGCCCACTGCGGCAGTCCCTGTAGCAGAAGAAAGCTTCGTAGCCTCAGCCGATCCCACCACCACCTCCTCTGGAACGAGATGCTGACCAGAATCGACTACGAGACAATACCCAAGCAGAGACCTCCTCTGGCTGCGGCATGCCATCCCCCGAACATAAATTTTCCGTGGGAAAATCATCCTCTGGATCATCATCATCGCTCGCAGCAGTGTCCAACACCACCTCATCCTCAACAACTTCAGGTCAGACCACTATAGCCAAACCATCCACCAAGTCAGGCCAGCGACCCTGCTCGCTGACCCCCTATTGCAATTGCACAGCAGAATTGCCCACTGCGGCAGTCCCTGTAGCAGAAGAAAGCTTCGTAGCCTCAGCCGATCCCACCACCACCTCCTCTGGAACGAGATGCTGACCAGAATCGACACCCGAGCCAGACGACTGCCGAGGGCCAGTCGGCGACCGCTCAGCAAGACCCATCGACGTGCATACCACCAGCGATGACCCATCAATCGGATTAGGGCCAAACCCATCCCGTAGCGTCGAGACGACCCGACTAACAGCTGGGTTTGCTTGGGCTGCCTCAGTTTGGGCCCCTCCAACCCTACTTGGGCTCAAAGCTTCATCTGGAAAAGGCCCACTTGATTTAAAAATTTGTGTGGTAGCCCCTCCATTCCAACTTGGGCTCAGAACTGTAGAGAAAGGCCCATGTTTATTAAGTTGTTTTTTAGTAGCCCACTGCTGTTTGGGCCCACCTCCATTCTGAAACTTGGCCTTAGCAAACCCCACCCGTCCCTTCTGTTGACCCCCTATGGAATGGGTAAGACCCACTTGACTCCGTCCAGCCCTAACCGTAGCCTCATCCCCAAATCTCAGAAAGGAAAAAGGTGGCCAACTCACTCACTAGTTCAATGATTTTACATGAATACATTTTGTGTAAGTTGCTTCAATACGCCTGATATTGATAGAATTGGTAGTGTTAGTCTTTTATGTAATCATTGATTTATTTATATTCTCCTCCACCAATATGTTAAAATTATGGGCATACAACTTCTTGAATGATGACCCAGGTTACTATCCTTCAGGGATTTAGATTGTCAATGATTGCTCAGACTGTACAGTTTGGAATATTCTTATTTCTTACATTTATAGTTATATACCACTGTGTTTTAGTTACCATCCATTATCCAAGGTCTTTAATATGTTCAATACTTACATTTTTATTCTCATACATTGTAGTTTTTTGTTGTTTTTTCAAGAAAAATGTCAGCTAAGTGTAATCTGATTCAATTAATATTGAAGGACACCTCTCTGTGTGTGTTAAAAATGAAAATCGGGCGTCGTATTTGAGAGAGTTGCACCTTAAGGGCACTGTTAGAATCCCTATTCTATTAGTTAACAGAAAAACTAGTCTTGCATTTGAAACTGGAATAAAAATGTTATAATGAACTTATTGTTTGCATTCCCATACTCATTTTAGGGAATACATAGATTTGTATTCCTGTTGTTATTGTTGTTCTAATGAGTAGGTTAGATTCTTTGTAAGGAGTTAAAAAATCCTGGTAAATGACGACTGAACATATTTATTTTCTCTTTGCTATCTTGAATATGATAGTGGATTCAATTGGCTTTGGATGTGCCATTTATGTTACTTCTTGTTTTATAGGTCGATGGTCTCATTGGCAAAGATCATCTCTTTAAACGCAGTATCATATTGATTAAAGCATGGTGCTATTATGAAAGTCGTATACTCAATGCTCATCATGGCTTGATTTCTACATATGCTATGGAGACTTTGGTTCTATACATCTTCCATTTCTTCCATTCAACGTTGAATGGCCCTTTAGCAGTGAGTTCTCGTGTAAATTGTAATTGGTGTATATTTGACATGAAATTGACTTAACGACTGTGCTGCTGAATTTTAGGTTCTATATAGATTTTTGGACTATTTTAGCAAATTCGATTGGGATAACTACTGCATTAGTTTAACTGGTCCAGTTCGTCAATCCTCATTGCCAGAGATTGTGGATCAGCAACATTTTCTAACATTGGTACTGCATCCTCATTCATTTTGAGCATTTCTTAAGAAAATATTTGAACCTATCCTTTATGTAACATGCTTGTGTAATTATTTGGACTTCAGAATTAAAGATACGTGACCGGGATGGGCATGAAGTCCCTGAACACCTACCTATCGGAAGTGCACTCTTTTCATACACCTGCTGTGATGTTTGTCTTTGCATATCAATTGGCTGATGTTGGCTCCACTGGGATATATACTCCTTTTGTTAAATTTGATCTGCATCCTAGTCCAAGAGGCCTGTTTCTTTATTTCTATGGTTGGATGCTGCTGGGAGGTGCTGGTGTAGCTTGGCAGCTGGTGTTGCTGGTTGAAGTTGGGCTGCTGCTGCTGTTGTTGCTTGTTGGTTTGATGTTGTTACAATGTTGCTGTGAGGTTGTGGCTGAGCTGGCTACTGCTGTGCATTTCCTGGTGGCTGCAGCTGCTGCTTTTCCTGGCTCTGTTCTGGCTTGAGCTGGGCTGCAGTTGCTGATATGGTTGTGGTTGCAGCTGATGATAGGGCCCTAGTTTGGTTTTGGTCCATCATCTACTTCTGCAATTGTACTTTATTTATTTTATTTTATTTTGTTCCTATGTGGGCTGGATATTGATATTCAATTGTTTGTATTTTGTTAGGGTGTGTTTGGTAACATTTACGTTTTCAGTTTATATTTACAAAAATTTTATAAACTGGTTTTTGTTTATTTTTAGAAAAATGTAAACTACAAACGCGTTTGGTAATTGACAAAATATTTTAAAAAATTTAAAAATATATAAAGAGTGAGAAATGACAAGTGGTGGCAAGTGGCGGCGGAAGACGGTGGTGGAAAGTGGTGACGGTGGGTGGTGGGTAGTTAGTGGTGGTGATGGGTGGGTGGGTGACGGTGGCGGGTAGTGGGTGATAGCGAGTGGATGGTGGTGGCGGTTGGTGGGTGGTAGTGGTAGGTGGTGGCGGATGGCGGGTAGGTGACGGGTGGTGGTGGTGGTGGGTGGGTGGTAGGTGGTGGTCGCAGGTGGGTAGCGGGTGGTAAGTGGTAGCAAGTGGGTGGTGGTGGTAGTGGGTAATGGGTGGTGGTAGTGGGTAATGGGTGGTGGTGGCAGGTGGGTGGCGGGTGGGTAGTGGGGGATGGTGGTGGTGGTGCGCGGGTGGTGGGTGGTAGGTGGGCGGGTGGTAGTAGTGGTGGGTGGTGGGTGACGGTGGCGGGTGTAGGTGTGTAGCGAGTGGGTGGTGGTGGCAGGTGGGTGTGCGGATGGGGTTGGTGGGTGATGGTGGTGGTGGTGGTGGGGCGAGTGGGTGGCGGTGGCTAGTGGTGGCTGGTGGTGGATTGGTGGTGGCAGGTGGGTGGTGAGTGGTGTGGCAAGTAGGTGGCGGTGGTGGTGGCGGGCGGTGGATAGTTGTGGCGGGTGGTGGTGAGTGGATTGCAGGTGGGTGGTGGGTGGTGATAGTGGCGGCGGCGAGGGGTGGGTGGTGGTGGCGGCGAGCTGGGTGGCAGGTGGGTGGTAGCTGGTGGGTGGTGGTGGTGGCGGAAGACGGTGGTGGAAAATGGTGGCGGGTGGTGGCTAGTGTTGGGTGGTAAAAAAAAAAAAAACTCAAAACTCAAAACGGAAACACATTTTTTGTATTTTCAATTTTTAGCCAAATTTATAAACTGAGACCATTGATTTATAAATCAAAAATTTTACCAAACAAGTTTTTATTTGAGTTTTTAAATTTTTTGTAAATATAAACAGAAACTTGAAAACGTAAATATTACCAAACGACACTTTAGTTTTCTTGGTTTTAGTTTTGTTCAGTGTTTGGGTTTTGTTTGTTTAGGTGTTATTTGTTGGTGATGTCAGGCGTGGGATATGCCCCTTGTAAGTTTGTATATTTTATCATTTTATTTTATGACTTGCTCACCAAAAAAAAAAAAAAAAAAAAACATATTACAGGTTGCATGGAATAAGTACAGGTTGATAATATATGTATTGTTTTATTTATATACATACATGGTACAGGTTGTATGGAATACATACAAGTTGTGGACAAAATAATTAAAAAAAATAAAATAAAATAATGTTTTTGGCGACTAATAATTGATAGCCAAAAAGAAAGTAAATATTTTTAGTGCATGTAACACTATCATAACATATGTTAATATATTAATTAATATATCAATTAATGCCTGTAGCACTACTATTGAATTATTAGTTTGTATTCAAACTTTCCAACTCATTTGACCATGAGGCTAGAAAAACATTGCAAATAGTCCAAATAATTCTGAGGAATAACGAAATTGGACCTACCTTATTAACCAAGACAGTTGACAGTGATTACTTTCCGACCCGCTGCTTCTTTGGAATCTGATATTTAACTCCAATGACACAAACCAAGTCAAAGAAAACAATCTCAAAATAAAGAAAATAAAATTGTATCGGTAAATTACAATTACCTCGCTTGTTAATTATTCAAAATATAATTGAGAATTTTTATTTGCACCCCACTTTGTTACGGTTATTATCATTTGTGTACTTTTTACATAAGTTTTCAGAATAAAAATTAAATGTTTTGACTTCAATTTCTCAACAAAAATTAATAATCCAAATATCAAGAGTTTTGCTCAAATAATTGACACTTGAAGCACAAAATAATATAACTTGAAAATAAAATATTTATTGCATGCCAATCACCTTGTTTGGTTCCATTATTCTGAATTTAATATTTGGAAAATTATTTTTTTGTTTTTCATATATTTTTTGTTTTAGTGATTTTTTTTAATATTTTCAGCAATTTTTTTTTATTTTTTATTTTCTAGATACACTTAATACAAATTCAATTAAAAGTATAATATTTGTGAATTTAAAATAATAATAATATCAAAAATAAAAAAATAAAAATAAAAATTCAGTATATTTTCATATTCTTGTGTATTTTTTGATTTTTTAAAAAATATTTTTTACAAATATTTTATTTTTTAGGTACATCTAGGTTATACGTACAAAAGACATGACATTCCATTCATAATGACCAAAGGGTGTAGTGAATGCTGTTTTACACCTATTATTAGGATGAATTTGGATTTGCCAAAATCCACTTTTAAGATCAAATTTACTAAAAATGACAGCTCAAAAGAGGCGGAATCAAAGATAAACGAAACAAACGAAATCAAACAAAGATAAACAAAATCAAACAGATTAAATAAAATAAACTTAAAACTTACAACAAAGATAAAACTTACAATTGTTTACAACAAAGATAAAACTTATAATTGTTTACTGAAAGCAACTTGAAAGAGTAGCTTCAAAATACATAATTTGAAAATAAATTTACAATTGACTATCAGAGTAGGTATAGGAAAGTAATATTGGTTTGCTCTCGGTTCTAACTTTGGTTTGCTAATGACTAGAATGACTTCTTTATAGGCAATGAAGATGATTGTGAGCCTTGTGAAGAAATCTTGACTGGAAAGGAGCATGATGAGGCACATGGGTGCTGTCTGTTGCTTTTGGTGAGTGACTAAAGCTTATTGCTGCTTTTGACTATGTTGATTTGTCTGATTGATGAATAGTGAACGGTAAATTTGACTTTTACTATTCATTACTTTCAGTGGAGGCATGTGACTAATGGGGAATCGATATAGATACAAAACATCATCTTTTCTAAAAAACAGAGTAGTGATTGAAGCTGATTTGTATATATATAGAATCCAATGACTGTTTAAGCATATGGGTCTTGAGCATCTTGGAACTGGGCCCCATAAGAATCATTATTGGTGGAGGCCTTGGAGGAATCTGATTCTTGAAAGGTTTCATCTTCAATTTGTGACTTAGCTTGGGCCATCAATAACTTCGCCATCTGGATCAATTCATCACTGGATAATGTGGGCTTAGCCTTGGACTTGGACTGAGTTGACTTGGATTTGGATGATTTGGGCTTGGAAGAGCTGGTTGTTGAGCTTCCAAGTCTGACTGAAGCAGTTAGGTTCTGCTGAGCTTTAACCATGGCAGGAGTTAGAGCACGAATATTGACTGGGAATTCAAGCTGGACTTGATCAATGATGCGTGGGGTTTTAAAATTATCCTACCATTTAACAAAGTGTTGACGGATGACTACACCTAAAAAGTAAAAAATTTGCTTAAAATATTAAAAACATTCACTAGAAAAAAAAAAAAAACAAAACAAAACAAAAATACAAAAAACAAAAAATTTTAATTTTCATAAAATTGAATTATACCATTTTTTTTATTACCATTCTAACCTTTAATTAAATTAGCAAAATAACTAGACTTTAACCCTTACTCTGACCACCCTCTCTAGCTCTGGCAGCCTCCAATCATCCCGACCACCGGTTTGCAGAACTTCGATGACTTCTTCCTAGCTCTGGCCACTCCTTTCTGTGAGAACACTGTGATGAGAGGCACCAGAATCAAAAAGCCAGACAGAAGAAGGGATGCCTAAAGAGGACCCAAGCAAACCTAAATGAAGAGAGGTAAGAGCGAATGCAGATGAGGATGACTGAGAGGTGGACAGGATATGCTAAAGTTGTGTAACCTGAGCACTTAGGGAAGCCAAGTCAGGATTAGGAGTCGGAGTAGATGTAGTGTACGCAGCAGGAGGTCTGAAAGTACCCGAAGTAGGACCACAGAACTGTGTCTGAGAAGACGGAGCAGGCTGACGTCCCTTCTTGGGACAATTGTTCTTCCAATGACCCCTCTGATGACAGAAAGCACAATCATCTGGCCCTAATGGTCTTTTCTTGGGTTTCGCAGTGGCCTGAAGCTGATGAGGAGGAGGTCAGATTAAGAACCGTGATGATTTGAGAGTCCGAGCTGTAGTGACCCCAAATGAACAGAACGGGACTTAATCCTCCCGAGAGCGTTCGGGGACGTCTACAGTAGGACCACAGAACTGTGTCTGAGAAGACGGAGCAGGCTGACGTCCCTTCTTGGGACAATTGTTCTTCCAATGACCCCTCTGATGACAGAAAGCACAATCATCTGGCCCTAATGGTCTTTTCTTGGGTTTCGCAGTGGCCTGAAGCTGATGAGGAGGAGGGGTCGATAACAAGGGAGGCTTGGCAGGAGCCAAGAAGACAGAAAAGAGGCAGAGTCTGACTGGCCGTCTTAAGACGGGTTTCCTCGGAGAGGAGCTCACGAACAATAGTATCCACAGAGGGAAGAGGAGATCGGTAAAGGATGCCACCTCGAATAGCCTCATACTGAGGGGAGAAAGTCATTAAGAACTGCACTAAATGACCTTGCTCCCGAAACTCAATATAAGCGTCCAGTATCTTGAGACTAGGTAGTTCCATAAGAGCCAACTGATCCCAGAGACCTGTCATTTCAATATGGAAGTCCTGAATAGTCTAATCCCGCTGACGAGCATTCTGAATAGCTGTTTCCAACTTATACCGCTTGGCAAGGTTGGACTGCTGATAGACATCTAGTAAATAATCCCACACCTCCTTGGCAGTATTGTACTTGGAAAACATCATTCCAATACGGTCAGCCACAAAATTATGAAACTAGGTCAGAACTTAGGCATTATCACAATCCTAAGTATCACAGGAAGTTAGATATCCTTCCTCCTTTGGGTCTGATAGATGAGGAACAAAACCAGAAACATAGCCCCATTTTTTTTTACCAAGAAGAAAAA